ACATTTTTCTTTTCTTTTTTTTTATTTTTTGGAGACGGGGTCTTGCTCTGTCACCCAGGCTGTCATGCAGTGGTACGATCATAGCTCACCACAGCCTCGACCCTCCTGGGCTCAAGGATCTTCTTGAGCTCTTGAGTAGCTGGGACTACAGGTGCACACCACCATGCTCAGCTAATATTTTTTTTTTTTTTTTTTTTAATTTTTGGAGAGACAGGGTTGCTATGTTGCCTAGGTTTGTCTCGAACTCCTGGCCTCAAGCAACCCTCTCACCTTCAGCCTCCCAAAATGCTGAGATTACAGGAGGGTGCCACAAAGAAAAATATCTATGAGGACAGAGAAGACAAGATTATTAAGCTTCACTTAATGGCCATATACAGAAAGCGTGTATTCAAAATTGTAGAATAGATTCCACTCTCAGATACACAGGCCATTTATGATACGTGACCATATGTGAGCTGCCCTTTGACTACAAACACAAAGATCACCTGGTCCACAATGCAGTGAACTTAGAAACTAAAACACTTAAAATTATTTATATATAAACGTATATTTTTACATGGATTTTAAAGCTCTGTGTATTTGGAATTGAGAAACACTTCTAAGTAACTCATAAGCCAAAAAAGGAGTCACAGTAGAAACAAGATAACATTTATAAGTTAAGGATAATAAAAGTACTATATATCTAAATCTATGCACTGCAACATACTTTGAGGGAAATGTACAACTTTAAATGCTTATCTACATTTTTAATTAGCTGAATATCAATGAGCAAACATCCAACATAAATTTGAAAAAGAACAGAAACATGAACTGGAAAAAAAAGGAAGAAATAAAAACATAAATTAATGAAGCAGAAAAACATCCCATAGAAAAAAATCAACAATTGAAAAATTCATGAAAATAAACTAATGAAAAATTAAACTACACAAGTACTAGAATAAAACATGAGTGATTTCCTCTTTAATCTGGGTGTAGAAAAGGCTTTCTAATTGTGAATTAAAAATCTAGATAAAAGACAGATAAATTTGACTATAAAAATTAAAAAATCCTTGGCACAGCAAAATGACATGAAAAAATTTGACAGAAATACTAAATGGAAGAAAATATTTGCAATGTATTCCACAGTAAAATAAATAATATCCCTAAGATACCAATAAATAAATAAATGTTTAAATTGAGGGGACAAAAAAGACCAAAAACTGTGTAGAAAAATGTATAAAATACATGAAAAGAGACATAAAAATGTCCTTAAACATATAAAAAGATGTTCTACTTCACTCACAAGAAGAGAAATGCAAATTAAAACTACACTGAGCTACACTGTTCAGCCATCACTTTGGCAAAAATTCATGAGCTGAAGAACAGACCCCATGGTGTGGCTGTGGGTGGTGAGGGCGGTGGCCACCCCTTGAAGGGGATTTGCAACTGTCTAACTGAAGTAGGAGCACTGAGCACTGCCACTGAACCCAACTATCACACCGCTAAGGCCTTTCCAGGAGATACAGTCACACAAATACAAATGCACAAGGCTATTCACCACTGCACTGTGTGTAACTGCAAAATATCATAAACTACGTCATCATCCCACCATCACGAAACCCAAACGAGGATGCAGCACTGGGCAGCAGAGGAAGCAAAAGGAAGAATAAGGATGATCACTCCGCCCTGGTACGGGGCGACTCCAGGGATGCTGTTTAATAGAAAACACAAAGTACAAAAAGGGAGATGTAGATGGTGGCATGGCACTGTGAATGTAATTAATGCCACTGAATTATACACTTAAAAACAGCTAAAATAGCAAATGTAATGTTATATTCATTTACAATAAAAATAGTAAAAAGAGAACATATGTAGCAAGATACATTATGTACATTTTAGGTGAGAAAGAAGAGAAACAGAAAACATACATATGGAGGGCTAATTGTAAAAATGTGTTTGCCTAGAGGTATGCCAGCAAACGTTTAACAAACAGCTCCTGGGGTGGGAGGGAGGACCTGGCCTGTAGTGTTTGCCAGTTTCCTTCCATGTGCAAACCCTCCCACTGTGGGCGATTGCCAACCTACTGCCATAATGTCACTAAACACAGAACTGGGAAGAGATGTGCAGCTCCAGGAGCTGGTGAGAGACCACCTTGGAACATCACTGTCATGTACAAGGCGTGGGATAACAGGAAGAGAAAGGACATTGTGGGACTCGTCTGTTTTATACACGCAGATATATGCATGTATATGTGCATATATACACACACACACACTTACATGCATGTATATTTACACAGAGGTGTGTATGTGTACATGCACATACTTCCCAGCTCTGACCCCTAACAGTGTTAGAAGCAAAGACACCTGACAGCAATAAGCCTATCTCGTACCCAGATATTGTTCCTTGGTAACATTTTCACACTACAAAAACTAGAGCCCTTCAAACATCTATCTGGTGGACTCCAGGGTTGGGTAGGTTAGGTACAAGATGGACCTGAAACATTATATGGAAAAGTTAGGAAACTGTTTCTTTAAATGAGGCAGATGGTAGCAGGAAGAGAAAGGAAGCTGGGAACTAAAGAGGGAAGGAACCGGGAACTGGTCTGGTGGGCTCCCACTGATCAAATCTAAGAGAATTTGAGCACAAAATCCTCAAGGACAGTGATGAATGAGACACTAGGACAGCGGTGAATTAAGACACAGGAGTCCAGGACAAGAACTTGGTAAGAGATGAACAGATAAGCAAATGGGGAAGAAGGGAGGGGCCTGCTCCCAGCAGATAGCTAAGTCTGCACGGGAGCTGCACAAGCGCCACTTACAGCCATCACAGTAAAGACGGGTCTAGGCAGAAACCAACCACGGCTAAGTCCAGGGGAAATGTCACGAGATGTAGGATTTCCACATGGTCTTCCAGGGGCTTCCTGCAGATGGTTTATTAGTCATGAGTGGTAACCAAAGTCGGGAGAAGCCAAACAGCTCTGCAGTGAGTCAGCAACCTCACACCCCAAGGTGGGGCACAGGGTTGCTCTGCACCTGGCGAGGTGAGGCCCTGAGGAAGCACAATCCCATGGAGGCAGGCACCAGCCAAGCGTGCACCACTGAATCCTATCACAGGAGTCCCCGGACACGCCCCAAAGGAGGAAACATCTACTTATTAAAAGAGACTATTTTTCAAAACGTCAATGTCATGAAAGTGACAGAAAGGCTGTGGAAAATGTTCCTGATTGACAGAGACAACAGACATACAAGTAGGTGCCAACACCTGATCCCAGACCACATCCTGTGCTGCAGGGAAAACAATATAAAAGACATTACTGAGGGAACTGGAAATACTGGGGTGTAGCATTAAGATGGGTTTTGTAAAATGGTGCTGTGGTGATGAGAGGACACCCCTATGCCCAGGAAACAGTACCTCTCCACCCTCCAAATAACTCTCTTGACTCCTCAGGGACCAATGTCTAGCAGCACCCACATGCTCTCTGTCTCTTAATTTTCAAAGTTTCTCTACTAACTCATTTTCAGGCTTTAAACACAACCAAGTAGCTAATACTAAAGATGCAACCCAAACACCTCCCTTCTAGGCCCCAAGTTTTCAAAGTCAAACATTTCACACAGCCATCTCCACCCCTCCCTCTCCCTCACTCCTCAAGCTGGCGCAATCTGGCTTCCTCTGCACCTTCTCAAAGTGACTCAGGACCTCTCGACCATCCCTGTGCCAAGTCCAATGCCATCTTTCAGCTCTCATCTGCTGTGCTTTCCTCCCTTCTCAAGCTGGAACAAAGAAAAAGTGCTTCCTGGTGATGCAGCATGACTGAGGGGTGCTCACACAGGCACTCTCATTAAATGCTGGTGAAGGAGTAAAATATCCGTGACTCTGGGTGGTAATTTGACCATGAGTACTTGAGATGTGAACTTCTTACAATCTAATAGTAATAAAGGGAAGGAGAGAAGGTTCTGAAAAGGGGGAACCATGGGCTGGACTCTGCTCCAATGCTGACTCATCTTTAGTTTCTGTTTCTTTACTGATAAAAAGGGTTAATTCTCCAGGGTTTTGGAGAATTACAGGAATTAAGTGAGGAACCTTTGCAGCAAATATAGTAATGATTAAGGAAACCATCTTCTCACAGGTCATATGTTTGTTCCTAGAAAGACATTGGTGGTTCTTGCCCTCTTTGTAAAAGCTGAAACAACCTTCCCCCAAGGGTCAGGGCAGGAACAGGTCAGGAAACCCAGTCTCACAGACGGAAAAGCAGCACAGACAGGGAAGGAACCCAGCCGAGGTCACGTGGTGATCTGGGAGCAGGGACGGAAGCAGAACAGAGTCTCTGGATTCTCAGGCTAGTCCTGCTCCACCAGCCCAGCTGGGTCCCTACCGGACACTTCTCTTCCCAGGACTTGTGCTCAGACTCTGCCAGCTTAACACAAGGGAACGATGACAACAGCTCACTGCTGTGCTCCTAACAACAGCTGCCCCCAACTGCAACCAGCCCTGCTGGATGTGGCCAGAGGCACAAGCTCAGCAAAGAAGGTACACGTGGATGCAGCCGTGTTCGGAGCAGTCCCATCTTGGGTTTCTGTGAAGGCAGAGGCTGGGAAACAGGTGGGTAAAGTCAAACCCATTTACTCACTACCAAGGGAACAAAGCTGTAGTGCTGTAGCTCAGCCTGTACCTCAGAAAAGCAAAATGGCCAGAGCACTTGGAGTAAAGCTCACACCCACACCGAAAGCCTCAACCTAGCTCTATCACTGACTGCCCTTCATCGCCAAAGACAGGGTGGCCTCTGTGACACAATTCGCACAGGGCCTACAGCACAAAGGCATGAACGCTACACAGAATGAAGTAAGCTGTCAAGTGTCACCGCAGATCCAGAGGAAGACGACGGAGGCCTGGGAGGAGCAGGAGACTGGGATGGATGCGGCTCACCATGCACGCTGACGAGCAAGTGTAGACAGGCTGTATCTCCAATGAACGGATGGTGCCTTTGTAAAATAAAAGCACACAGAAATGCTGACTCCCACCTGTCTAAATGTGCACACAGAGGAAATTCTTCTCCATCTGACATGCCATCCCCGGCCACCACGGACCAGCAACAACGGCTCTCCAGATCCATCACTGTCTCTGCACGCAGGGTCGCCAGACAGCCTGGCAGCACGGCACGGAGGAGGGATGAGTCATCACGAAAAATGATCATCCCTCCATGCCAGGCTGCAATCTGATCTCAACCTCCGGGAGGGCAGCACTCTCCAAATCCCTGTGAGAGAGAAAAAAGCAAAGCGGAGAAGGTCCAGAAGGAACGCTACCTAGCCAAGGAGAAAACTCAGAGGAGGAAGGAAAGAAGAGCACCAGTGCCATGAGACCTCCGCTGGGCCCATGGCAGTCTGTCCTCCCTCGAGAGGTGGCTACACCATTTCCAAATAACCTGAGATTCGCTGAGGCTGCAGAGCTTCTGCTGGCTGGCGAGGAGCGGAGTAAGGGCAAGACCTCAGCCTCTGTGACTGAGAGCATGTGAAAACGCCCTGCCCCAGCCGGCCAAGACCTCCACGTCTTCCCTGGCCCTCCTAGTTCTGGGGCCCACATTTCCACAGTGAAATAGTGCCGCCCATCCCCGCAGGCCCTGGGTCTTGGCTGGGAGGGCTGGAACAGCCCGCAGCAGCGCCCATGAATGCCAGGGTTTGTGCTGGCTAGAATCCAGGAGATTCAGCAGGCCCAGAACTCACCCCCCAGCCTGTGCTCCTCTTAGAATAAGGATGCCCGGTGGGCTCTGCAATTGATATGGCTTGGCTGTTTCTGCACCCAAATCTCATCTTGAACTGTAGGTCCCATAATCCCCACATGTTGTGGGCGGGACCCGGTGGGAGGTGATTGAATCATGGGGGTAGGTTCTTCTCATGCTGTTCTCATGGCAGTGAGTGAGTCTCACCAGAAATGATGGTTTTATAAAAAGGCAGTTCCCTTGCACATGGTCTCTTGCCTGCCACCATGTAAGATGCACCTTTTATCCTCCTTCCCCTTCGGCCATGACTGTGAGGCCTCCCGAGCCATGCGGCACTGAGTCTTTTTCTTTATAAATTACCCAGTCTAGGGTATATCTTCAGAGCAGTATGAAAATGGACTGATCCAGTGATGCTGACACAACACCGTGTGGGCGCTATGTCTGCCGTCACACAACGCCAACACTCTTGCAAGTGTGCCTCACTCTGAAGCGTGGGTGACCCCAGGTCCTCACTCACTCCTCTCCTGGCCACTATTCAGTGCCTCCTATGTCCTCATCCTTGCCTATGGAGGCAGAAGCTCTTGCCCTGTCCTCTCCTCCCCTTGTCTGTGAAGACAGAGCTTTGGCTGAGCCCAAGGCTGCCCAGCGGGAGAATGCGTTGCCCAGCTCCTCTGCAGAGAGGGTTGCCTGGCACATGTTAGACACACCTGGTCTCAGATACCATGATACAAGTCAGCATAACTTGGGCCTCCAATTCTTAAAATGAAGTTGCCACCTGTTGCATCCACAAGCTAGAACACACGAGGTGCACCTGGGTTCCTTCCGACTCTGCAGTCATGACAACATAGCAAGAGACAGAAACCACACACCAAGAATGGCAGGCCACCCAGAGCCCAGGCCACGGAGGGCCTCACAGAGCCCAGCCCTCCCATCCTGGAACGGTGATGTCAACAAGAGCATCTGACCTTATGAAATAAAGCTGGTGGGTCTGGGAAGCTCTGTGTTTCCGCGGCTTACACTTTCCCCCGGGTTCAACTCTTCCTCTTGGCACATGGCTCTCTGTATGCCCCACACCGTCCCCTCAGCTGTGAGCTGGGATTCCAAAAGCCTCCATGGCACGTCTCCTACGGGTCTCACACAGAAGTCTGTCTGCTCCCCGCAAACGCCAGACTGTTTTTCTTCCAATGCGATCACTCCATCTCCCAGGACCACAGGCAGCACACAACCCCATGGGGTCCCTCTGGGCACCTTCTCCACTGCTCACACTGCACCCTGTTGCTCTGTGACAGCCTGTGACATGCCCACAGTGGGCGCCACTCTTCCATCCCCAAGCCCCACAGCCATCTCCTACAAAACACCCACAATCACAAAGGGCCCAGTTCCTCTCTGACCAACACAGGGCAAACATGATACTTAAAAAGTAGAAACCTAACAACAAAAGAATAGTCCTCCTAGACAGGACTACCAAGAAATTAATCTTTTAAATTAAAGAATAAAAACATGAGCGACAACAGGTCAGTACATATAAAGCCAGTAGAACAGAGTTAAAAGTGTCTTAGAAGAAGATTGAGAGTCAAATGCATTAGCTGGAAAATAAATGAAAATGTTCAAAGAAGCATTCAGGAAACTATTAAAATAATAGCATTAACTTGAAGAAAAAGAGAATTATAATTATAATGTATGCTAAAATGAGAAATTAATAGTAAAATTATAAATGATCAATATAACTGAAAGCTATTTTGGAGAAAAAATTAGACAAATGTGACTAAAATGCTGAAATAAGTATTTGAAATAAAGGGAACACAGTAACAGATAAAATGACTGAAAAACTAGGCCCGGCATGGTGGCCTACACCTGTAATCCTAGCACTTGGGAGGCCATGGCAGGAAGATCGCTTGAGGCCAAGAAGTTTGAGACCAGCTTGAGTATCTAAGCAAGACCCCAGTCCCTAAAAAAATTTTTTTAATTAGCTAGATGTGTTGGCACATCCCTGTAGTCCCAGCTAGTTGGGAGACTGAGGTGGAAGGATCGCTTGAGCCCAGTAGTTCAAGGCTGCGGTGAGCTGAGATCAACATCCAACAGAGTGTGGCTCTGTTTCTAAAAAAAAATAATAAAAATAAAAATTAAATTAAATTAAAAATTTTAAAAGACTGAAAATGACAAGAATACAACATATATATTACATACATACGTGTGTGTATATATATAACATATACATTTTTACCTATATACCTAAAAACTTGCTTAAAATTGACTATTTCCTGAGAAAAAACCATTGGTGTATAAGAAAATGTGTATAAAATCAATAACCATTGAAGAAATTATATAGACGCTAAAAAATCAGTCTCCAAAATAGACTCCAGGCTTAGCGGCTTTGATAGATGAATTCTATCAAAGGTAGAATTCTATCAAAGGCTGATAACATTTGCATTTCTAAACAGAGGACAGGAAAATTTGTTATTTAAATAAAGTATAGAAAAACATGAGAAGATTCTCAAATCATGTTATGAAAGCAAGCTATATATTACCAAAATCATATAAAAATTAGAAAAAAAGAACCTTATAGAGCAATATCACCCTAGCCATAACCCTCACGATAACCCTAACACTAACCCTAATCCTAACCTTTACAATAATTTGAACACTAACAGTAACCCCAACCCTTATGCTAGCCTTAACTCTAGCCCTAACCCTATTATTAACCCTTATTCTAGTCCCAGTAAGATACTGGGAGCATATTATAATTGGAAGAGCTATGGCTTAACAGTATTTATTCCAAGAATCAACACTTGGAATGTCAGGAACAGAATTCACTCCATTGAGAGACAAAAGCAGGAATCACATGACCGCCTAAATAGTAGCAATGAACACATTTAGTGAAATGCAGCTTTCATTTTCGATTTTAAAAAACACATAACTTAATAAATAGGAATAAAAGAAAACTTCTGTAGCTTAATGAAGAATATTTACCAGATAGCTACGGCAAGCAAACTTCATGGTGAATGCATTTGGGTCAAGGTAAAAATAAGTCAAATTTCACCCGAAAACCCTCTTGCAAATAAAACCATTTTAACACATGCCCACATTCAAATATATAAAAACTGATAGTTTTCCTATATAATGTTAAATATTTGATAAATGCAATGGGAAAAGTCCCAATTACAATAACCAAATAACACAAATTAGTTGGAAAAGAATTTGAAAGATAAAACCTATAGCAAGAAAGCTATGAAATGTAACTGAAGGCTAATAACAGAATAAATGGAAAGAGGAATTCCTTTTCTATATAGGAAACTATTTAAATATTGTTAAAATATCAGCTGTTTATAATTTAAATTACAGATCTGATCCATTTGAAAAGAAACCTCAATATGATTAACTTTTTAAACTTGAAAATCATTCTAAAGTTCATTAGAAAGTAGGTAGCCAAGAACCACCAAAATGTTTTTTGAAATATTGGTTACCTTTATCAGATATGGAAATATACCGTGAAACTAAAATAATTAAAACAGTGTACCAGCACTACAACAAAGAGGTCAATTACAGAATTCAGAAACAGACACTAAAATACACAATATTTTCATATGTGGTACACATACATAACAGAAGTTGCAGCATGAATCATTAGAAAAATGAAGTATTTTTTAATAAATGGTGTTTCTAATAGAAGAAAACTAACTTAGATCTAAGAACATACACCTAACTAAATCCCAAGAAAAGGATTTTCTAAATGTAAACACAATAGAAGATGACATCGCAAGGGAAAATACTGAGCGAGCCACCCAAAATGCTACAAATGAGACGAAAAGGTGCACGACTCAACTGGGGAAAATTCCTCCCACCAACATAAAAGCAGAGTATCTTCAATAACGCAAGAGTGCTTATGAGCACGGGGAAAACGACATTATTGTTAAAGAGCTAAAGCCACGTGTGTTCAGTTCGCTTCTGCATTTTGAGATGGAGACGTATGCAGCACCTGGTGTGTCAGGATACAACAGCACAGGTGCTCTGGTACAGCTTGTTCCAGTACAAACTTGCACTTTTGAGATCAGTCTGGCAATTACACATTATGCCTCTTTTAAATGTCCATGTCCTCTGACCCAGGAATTCTGTAGGTGTGAACACTGCCTACAAAAGAGAGGAAGCTGCTGTGGATTTATGCACAAGGATGTTTACCTTGTATTATGGATATTAGTGGAAATCAGAAAAAAATAAACAAAAAGGGAATAATCCAATAAATGATACCTAGATCCATACATGGGAAACCATGCAACCTTCTAAAAATAATGTTTTCAAACTAGGTAAGGTCGAACACTTTGCAGAATACTATTCAGTTAAAAAGCAGGGCATGGAAGTGTGTCCTGCATGCCTGACGCAGACAGTCTGGACTGAAATTTCCCCACAGCCCCTGGAGCACTGGGCAAGAGGCGCTCACCAGGCCTAACGCTGCAGAGCTCAAGCAACCTGAGTAGAAAGCTCTGCCTCAGATTCACCAAGCCAGAGGCTGGGCCTGTGCAGTGGAGAGGACCAGAGGGCAAGGGCAGTGGAAGTCTGACCTGGCAGGAGCAGGGCAAGCAAGGGAGCTCAGGGCCTGAGGTTCATCAAGTTTTTACAAAACAGTATTTGCCCATATAACCTTTAAAATTTTTTCTTTTTAATAAAACTATAAATATACAGTTTTTTAAAGCAAATAATTCGATAAAGCTTATGAAAAGCAGTGGCCCTCCCCCTCCCTTGTCCCCCACATCACAATCTTTCCGTGAGCTCTTAGCCTCCTGTGGCATTTCTTTATCTCCATATTTCTAATCACTGAGTTTGCATTTGCTATTCGTGATCTTACAATTTTATGTATCAGCTGTTAGCTTCCTGATACAAAAGATGAGCACCAACTCTCCTGAGCCCCTACCTCGCCCTCCTCCCCACTCTCCAGGACTCCCCTCGCCAGCTGTGCACCTGGTACCTACACCTGATGCTGCAGCTGCCTTCTTGCACAATGTTTCTGTTTCTCGCAGGGAATCAGGGTCTCCCGACTGCTTTGCTTGGTGCTCTATGAACTTAGGTTGATTTCTTTCCAAACTCCTAGCCATGGGGCTGACCACTGCAGACCCACTCATCCTGACATCACCCTCCAAGCCTTTCTTGGAGCCACGCTCCAAGGCCCCAGCGTCCAGCTTCCTCACCCACCCAGTGGCTCCTTTCCCTCCCTCCTGCATCTGTTCCTAGGTTCCCAGTGTTCTGGGGCCAAATAAGGAGGGGCTGGGGTGAAGCTATCCTGTGCCCTGCTTTCCGTTTAGGACAGTCCCCCAACACACGGCAGGCTCCCAGGTCACCTTCCAGGGTGGAACTAGACTGGGTAGGAGAGGGCTGAGAGGCTGACTCCTTCTCAGACAGGTTTTCCACAGCTTTCCTATGTCCACACTACCTCTACTGCCTCCCCAGGTTCAGCCGCACAGTAACGCCATTCCGAAGACGTGGGGGCGCTGTCTGCAACACAAGAAACTCACTTCCCAGTCCCCTCAACACACACACATACAACAGATGCACACACACCACACACGCACACACCTTCCACACACACACGTGTGCGCACCTATATACACACTCACCTGCACACACATACACACGCACGTGTACATACAGACCTGCATGGGTAAATACACATGCACACACACGCACACTACACACACACCACACACACTCACACTCACATGCACCTCGCAGCTTTCTAGGTTCAGATCTGCTCTGTTTGTCCATTTGCCTTTCAACTTTCAAAGTTCTGTCATCTTCTTTCTCAATTTCTTGGTGATCGAGACCATCCTGGCTAACACAGTGAAACCCCATCTCTACCAAAAATACAAAAAATTAGCCAGTCTGGTGGCGGGCGTCTGTAGTCCCAGCTACTCAGAAGGCTGAGGTAGGAGAATGGCAATGGCGTGAACATGAGAGGCAGAGCTTGAAGTGAGCCGAGATGGCACCACTGCACTCCAGCCTGGGCAACAGAGCGAGACTCTGTCTCAAGAAAACAAACAAACAAACAAACAAAAACTTTAAGAAGCATATAACCGGCCGGGCGTGGTGGCTCAAGCCTGTAATCCCAGCACTTTGGGAGGCCGAGATGGGCGGATCACGAGGCCAGGAGATCGAGAGACGATCCCGGCTAACACGGTGAAACCCCGTCTCTACTAAAAAATACAAAAACTAGCCGGGCGAGGTGGCGGGCGCCTGTAGTCCCAGCTACTCGGGAGGCTGAGGCAGGAGAACGGCGTAAACCCGGGAGGCGGAGCTTGCAGTGAGCTGAGATCCGGCCACTGCACTCCAGCCTGGGTGACAGAGCAAGACTCCGTCTCAAAAAAAAAAAAAAAAAAAGAAGCATATAACCAATTCAGTATTACAAGAAATAAAAGACCTCAAAGTAAACAAAAATCTTCAACAAAGTGTTCATTACTACTAATTTCCCGATCTTGCTGTAGCGGAAAAACAGCCCCGCGATGGGGCTAGGAGTGGGCTCTGGCACTAACCAGCTACGGGA